TATATGCAGTTAATGTTGTGTWTAGTAGATATAGGATTTTCATGTGTGCTATGCGAAATCGATAAGTCGCACCTAGCATAGCATAGAGATTATGTGTATTTAAGAAAAGTTAAAGAATCCTAGAGAGGTTATGTAACATTATGCGAGAAATAGTTTTGAAATGCGCTGTAAGCGTGAATAAGCACTTATTTATAAACGCCCATTTTTTATAAATACACGGACACTTCTACCTACTATACATATATATTATATTGACAACTTTGTATGTATAACCCAATAAATAATAAGTTGCGATCTACCTATATATCCGAATAATGCACGCGAGGCTCATTCATGAGCACGAATATAATATACAATATATAGTAGATATAAATATATATTAAATGATTTAAATGTCTATTTAATAGACACATATTCATATACTCTTGTATGTGTGTATATACGTATTTATAATAATGCAAATTACTGCAATCAAAAGTAAGAAAAAATTATAAGATAATTACTAGGCATCAAGTCATGACAGTAAAAAATGCCAGTACAATTGTTGTTGCGCACTTTATTACCTCAGTGGAAAAAATTAACAACAACAACAACAACAACAATAATAATAATAACATGCACTCGTTCAATTACAATCGCGAAAAGTAGAAACATACAAACATACACGCATATATACATATATTATATACAAATGTACTTGTGTTGCGTACTTATGTATTGGAGCAGAAGCCACGATAAATTACGATTAAACAAACACTTCACAATTGCTTCTCATTTTTTGCAAATTGTAGCATGATAAGCACATTATTTAATATTTTTTTTATTTTTTTCAACTAATAGTGCGGGTGGCATGTAAGAAGATAAACTAGTTAGTTAAACATTAGTTTCAAGCTCTATATAATGTCGACTAGTCATCTAAATGTCTTTATATATTATTTAGCATTGTTATGCAAAAGCACATCGTTTAAAATTTACAACAATTTATCCGATCAAGGCATGTTGTGGGCCTCAATAAATGTACAGATGATTCTGAGAAACATTTATGGGGATTTCTACGAATGTCAACATTTTGTTTACTGAATCGTTTAATTTTCTGATCACATATGAAWTAAATTTGTGTATTTTTTTCTTTTGCATACTAATCCTATGTGTATATCATGGTGAACCCCCAATTAATTATATAAGACACTGAAGCATGGTAATTATATTACATTTTTATCAAAGCAAATTTKCATATAGAGGATGACTAAAATAAAAAGTGAACATAATAGACACGTATACATTGTATACTTGGGCACGTAGAAAATCATCAATCAGCTATATTAACACAAGTTTCGAAATCGAAATAGTATACATAAATATCTAAAACTTACGAAAAATAAAGTATACCGTATTACATTGTAATTGTTGTACATTTTGTTTGACAAAAATGTTACAACGAATATACGTAAATTCCCACTCCTCATGATAAACGTCATAGTCGCATGTTTTTTTTTTTTTTTTTTTTTTTTTTTTTTTTTTTTTTTTTTTTTTTTTTTTTTTTTTTTTATATAAAACTAACAATTCATAAGAATTAACGCCTCACCTTATCTAAAAAATAATATAATACAGCATTAGATTTTAAAGTAACAAATTTAATTCGCATAAAATAAGTTCTAGATCTAGTTATTATCTTATCATTTAGCAGTTGGCAGTCAGGTACATTGTTGGCAAAATACACTAGTAGCCGATAAGCATACTTCAGCCAAAAATAATTAACTAATGTGCAATCTCAAACTCTATCTTAATACATAAAAAAAGAATTGAGTGATTTACCGACTCATAATCTTGTTTTGGGACATAAGCACCGTGAACGTGAATTAYATGGAAATATATGAAAATCCACTAGGATAATTGAATTGTCGTTTCGAAAATGGCAGAACAATTTAACAATATTTATTGCACCTCGCATAAAAATATTACTGACATACATTATACAATTTAAAAAAAAAAACTTTAAATAATAATGGCAGAAATGTGCAAAAATTTTAAAAAATAATAATAATGCGAAATTGAGAGTAGCTGCGTCAAATTCAAAAATAAATATAAAAGATCATCATGACGAGCTGAGTCGATTTAACCATGTTTTTTCCAGTCATTGATTTGAAATTTTGTACTCATCTCCAAAAAGCTGTTTATTTGACGGAACCGCCGRTATCGGAGCGATATAACATATAGCYGCCATACAACTGACCAATCAAACTGAAGTCCTTTTTTGAATTGACAAAAACTATTATCCAAAGCATCGCTTCAATCTTCGATCATATTGTTAAGCAAAAATATATTTTTATACCCTTYTAAGCCATAATAACTGTAACAGTGAAGGGTTCTATTAACCTCGGTGCAGCTGAAGTTGACRTTTTTTCTTCCTTTTCTTTTTTATGCTTAAATGCATTTTTTCAAAATAAAAAATCTGCAATTACTGCCATTATCAGTAATAACTTTGCATAGTAAACATTTAACCTCAGATGGGATTGATAGTTTATGCTTAGTCAATGGTTTTACAATACACCTGTTTTCATACCAACAATTACACCTGCTCCCACAATCCTTAATCAACCAAACATCTGCTGATGCATTAAAATAATTTCTTTTGCACTTATTTATACATAAAAAAMCATCCGAGAACGCATTCATTACCAATAATAAATAGACATACCCATCTATGTTCTGGTATGTCATGCCGAAATCGAACGAACCAAAAATAAAAAATAACTTTGACAGGGAGAAAAACAACAATAAAGCAGCCAACAAAGAGGAAAGAATTACATCACGACGCTTAAATGTGAGGTTAGGACAGCGTTGCTAACAGCTGAGCAGTCAGCTTTCAACCGCTGGTTTGCAACAAAAACTAAATTAAATCGATTGATTTAGCATTAAGTTAATTTCACATATAATTTTTTAAAACTGTAACAGTGACAAAAACTCACCTTAACCGAATCCAATGGATACATAACACAATGTTCCAATACCCCCGCAATTGCTCCGGCCGTCATATTAATGCTCACACTGGTAGTGGGTAATGATTCGTAGTCGTCCATATTCATTGCAATTGTAGCAAAATCAGTAGTAATTCAATAAGAACGTAATGTTGCTATTAAACTTAATGCTGATCACAGCTGCTATACAGATTAATACTTAATTGCTTTCAATGCCGCTATTTTAAGCAATTATATGCCTGTAAACAAACTGCCTTTACAACAAAAAAGGCAAAAAATTTGCCTCCTATGAATGGGTATACTGATCCCAAACGCTGCCGTCCAATTTCTGCGCGTCACTAACCGTTTGCAATGTGTTTTCACTCTTTGCCGAGCGAAGAACGATGCCAATACACAACCACCACCACCTTGTACTCCCTTCCAATTGTCCACGAACTGTAGTTGTCACTCGCTCTACTGCTTATTCCCAGATTTCCTCTCTACTGCTGCGCTATTGTTTCTTTTGCTTTGGCGGTTAATTTCCTCCACGATTTCCACTTTCTCACTTTCCACGCTATCGACAACTTACTTTTCTGTAATTGATAACAGCAACAGCTATATTAAAGAAARAAAAAAACATTACACATAATTTTTGCCGCTCATTTATTACTTCAAACCATTTCAGATTTCAATGCTTGCTAAAATGTATTTACCTGCTTATACGCCCTGAATTTTGCAATTTTACAAATCCAAAACTCTATTAGCACAATCAGAAGTTATTTGGAAAGCCAAAAGTTTTATTATATAAAAATTTTACAAATCTCTCCGAGTAGCAATGTAAAAGTTCAAAGCTATCTTTTTAGTTATTCAAGTTGTGATAAAATTACTTTTTATTGAGCGTAGTATATCTTTGCGGTCAGGTTTATCTCTGATCGCGGAATTAAACACATGCACGCCCAACTCAATTTTGCACTAGGAAAGACGACATACATAGCTATTCCTTAATATTTTGTATTCCGCTTTACGAGAATTTTTCGTAAATTTTAAAAATGTCAAAACATTTAAGTATACCATGTTGCCATACGATGCTTTTATTAGACACGTATAAGTATATCACATGCAGATGTCGCTGGCATACATTTTCTTATAAAAATTGAACTCAGTTTATTAATTTTATGTAAAAAAGAATATTATTCWTATTTTTATTGTAGTGACAAAGTTATATTAGTATACTACATTAATTTTGGTACAAAAGCAGGGCTAATTATAACCTCTTGTTATTGTGTATGAGATAACAATATTAAAATTTTTTGGGAATTTTTTGAAGTGGAAAAATATTTAGTAATACAAAGTTCAATCTAATTCAATCAATTCTTTTAAATTTATTTTTAATTTTTTTAAYGTTATGAAAAATATTACTAAATTAAATTATGAAGGAATAATGTATAAAAATTTATTAAATTAATAAAACGAGAAAATAAGAAANTCAACAAAAAATATACATATATAAATAAAGAGTTTTAAATATGTTTATTATAAATTAAAATATAGAGGAAATAAGTAACAAATAATAATTAGCTGCCATTTTCATTATTTTTCGTATTGCCATTTATTTTTTTAACAGTCACTCGCCAAAAAAGTGTTTTTGGCAAATTAAATAAAAAAAAAGCAAATACAAAAGCTAAGTTTATCATAATTATACAATTAAAAAGCAATTCTGTTTGAAGTTACATTTAAAAATAGTATTTATTTTTTATGCAATAACATATCTACGTTACATAAATTTGTTTCTTTATAAACAATTTCYTGTACAACACATTTAAAAATATGAAGAAAACACTTTAAATTAGCATTAAGTAAGTGGTCATTAAGCATGAACATTTCTCAAATGAGGTATTTCTTTTCAATGCTGCAAAGCAACGCTGGGGAAGAGCCGAGCAGTATTAAGATAAACGTTTCCAAAATGACTACAAAAGATCTAAAATACAAGTAAATCGCGAACAACTATATAAATTATTTTAATTACATATAAATGCTAAGTAATTATATTTTTCTCTTAACACAAATGCTCATGACGATAAGCGCTTGTCAGAAAGTAAATGGAATTTTTTATTGTCCTTTAAAAATGCAGAGTCTCCAAAAGATATTCTCAATAAGGCTGCTTTTGGCTTACAAGCCCTTGTTGAACCATACTTCTTTAAGCTCGGCATTGTGTTTTTTAATGTCTTGCTGCACTTCATCCTCCAGACGGTCCACCTGTTCAGTAGAAACAGAAAATTAATCGATTAAAATAAGAACTTTTAAACTTTCAACTTTCAAATAATTGAATTTAACTTACCCCGATTGCGGCGCGTTGACTGAAGAATGCACAGCCCAGCGGGGTGGCGAATATCAAGACGAAACCGCAGAAAAGCGTCTGAATGGGAGCGCTGGCTTTGGGGAAGCGCTTGAGGAAGCCACGTTTCTCCAACGACTGTATCAACAGTGGCGTTAGCACTGTAGAGAGAGGAGATGAAAATGATGTACAATCTAATAAAACATGACTTTGATATAGAGCTCACCCATTCCGGGCGCAGCCATGGCAATGCGACTAGCCACCACAGCTGTGATACCGACGGCAGCGGCCTTCTTCGAAACACCCAACTCGTTGTTCATTTCGTCCAGCAAAGTGACGCCGTTTTTCAACTCTCTTTGAAGTTTCATTTAAAAGTTGGAATTAGTAAACATAAAAACGTTTCATTGCTTTTACTTACTGCATGCGCATCATGGGCACATTGATGCAATTGGCTGCTGCCACGGCCGCCAGCGGCACTAGGCGTCCAATCAGCGGGTTTAAATTCTGCAATGCAAAAAAAGTAGCGCAACAAAATATACAGTTAGTGTAAAGTACGTTTGAATAAATTTCAACTAATGCTAAAATACATTTATCGAGTGAAGTTTAAGGGTGATTATGTTGACTGCATTTCTTTTATGTACCCTGAACAAGGCTTGTATATGGTTTGTCCGGAAAGTTAGAGGATTCAGTCGATTTAAAAAAAAATATTGAACCAATCGTTACAACTCTTTAAAAACTTTCAAAATAAGCTCCTTCTGCGTCGATGCAGCGCTGCTAGAGCGATTTCATTGAGGCGTCATGGAAGGCATTCTCAGGAATAGCCTTGAAAGCCGATGGTAGCTGGATCCCTTTTGTCGTCACAAAAAGATTGACTCTTTGTCGCGGGATCATACTCAAAGATCTATGACTCGTCACCTATGATTACATTATTCAAAAATTGGAGGTCACTTTTACACATGTTCAAATTYTTTKGCAACACTTCACTYGCCGCAATTTCTGAWCGTCAGTGTCAACAATGTCATGAACCACAGATTTTGATAAATTTAACATCTGGGCAATTGAAGGTTATTATAGCTTCGGCAAACAGAAATAAACGTTTTTCTTTGCTTTGTAACTACTTTCAGTCTACCTCAGTTTCGAACTAGTCCCCAAGTAACTCAACCCACACTAATGCCACAAATCATTTTGCGTCTAGGGGCTTTCTCGAARGGGCTGTTATTGCTTTATGTTGGGACAACTCACCTTCACTAGCCGGTTGAGGGAGAGTGCTGTAGTCAGCGCGCCACCAGTGGCCAATACATATGAAGTAAGCAATTGCCTGCAAAAGAGAGGCCATTAGATTCAATATCTTAAATATTTTACATATAACATACAAATCTCCAAATATACATWCAAATATGATGTACATACATATGTATTTATTATAATTTAAAAGGCAAACAGATAAAAAGCGAAAGCGAAAATGTATAAGCAATTGAAACGATAACAAAACAACACAATTTGTATGTTTGCCAAGTTATAATTTCTTAGTGGAGGCGCTACAGATATGTACATATATTTTTATCAACGTTCATACATATACATAAGTACGTATATAAATTGAGACAAAAAGCATCCGGAAATCGTAATTAAATTCCGCGGATAAATGATAGTTCAAGAAKATGTATTTTGCAACTTTGGTAGAACTGTTCTTAATTACTAAGTCAAATATGAGYGCGATCTGTCAACCAGTGTGTTTACATCAGTCGGTACACCTCAGTATAAAAATATGGAACAAAGAATTTGCTTCAAAATTTGTATTTCTAACCAAATTTCGTGTGCGGAATCGTTGTGGGTGTTGGWAAAGGCTCACGGTGAAGAATGTGGCGCTTAAAAATCGTCAGGAAAGAGAGATGACAAAAGAGCTCGACATCTCTAATGAGTCCGTTCGAATAATTTTCGTGGATATTTTGGATATGAAACGCGTTCTTGCTCGACTCGTCCCGTCAAAGCTAATTTTATTTTATTTTTCAAAAAAGAGTACCTTAAACAGGTCTCTATGGAAATGCTTGATCGTACGAATTCCAATMCCACATTCATGGAAAGCATTATAATTGCCGATGAGACATGGGTTTATGAATTTGACATGTAAACAAGTCAAAAATCATCGGTAAGATACTCAATTTCAGTCGATGGAGGAGATAAAAAATTGCTGAAATAGCTGAAGGCCACCCCAAAAATTGCTTATGAAAGGTGTTTCGAGAAATGGAAAAATCATTGGTGGGGATTACTTCGAGGGCGAAAAAAGAAATATTGATGAAAAATTAAATATCTTGCGTTTCATTTACAATTTCTGGGTACTTTTTGTCACAATGTTATTTGCACTTACTCTTTGGAAATGGGTGTTGATCCAGAGCGATTTGTATAGTTGACAACTGCGTTGAATGTCTGATTGACCCATTGCCAGAAAACGACTGCTGGTGTGGTCTTGTAGAACGACAGCATACCTACAAGAAAATAACAACAACAAAATGAAAATAAAATGATGAAAACACAACAATCAATAACCAACATCAATAGCATACTATTTGAAATGCGCATAATATTTATGTGTATTTATTTATTTTGTATTGTCTAGACGCGACAACCCAGAGGTAGTGAACGGTATTGACATCATAAGTATTGGTCCCATTTTGAAAAAAAAAAAAGTTGGAAAAACTACTTCGTTCATTGTGATAAAAATATTTACATATGTACAAATATTCAAATTTCGAAATTCCCATATTTTAAACGCATTTTTCTCGAAACTCTGTTTTTGGAATCGGTGAAGAAAATTTCTACGAAACGGCTGGAATTGAATTCCATTGAATTGAAGATTTTGGATATTGATTAAAATTTTTTAAGACACTCGGAAGTGTAAATTTTTTAACAAAAAAACACCTGTTTTGTGGAAGCCGGCATTTTGTAAAAAAAAACATGCTTCTCAAAAAATAATCACAAAAAATGAGTTTTCCTGACTTGCAAGTGGATATATCTATTTGATACCTTTGAGCTTTGTTATGTATATAGCATATATTTGATATGTCGAGCAACTCGTAAATCGAAATTAAAATATTTACGAATATACTACAGCCAAGCATACAGTACATAATTGATATTGCATTGGAATTGTTTAAAATTGCTTGATTGACGCAAACCCTTGATGACTTGGACCTGAGCAAAAAAATCAGTAAATTTGCAAATAATATAAAAACAACAAATAAGTAATGGCTTTCGTTTTGCTTTTGTCTCGCTTTTTTCTCCAATTGTACATATTACAAGCTATAATAATTCAAAGAATTTAATTTAAACTAGTAAAAACCATTTTTTAAAACTTTTTAAAATGTTTTGTTCGCTTTTAGGCGCATTCATAYATATGTAAATTACTTATAATTTGCCGTACATAGTAAGTGATTGCACTATATATACTGTTGTCGACAATTGTTGTTGAGAGCATTGAAGTTTTCGATGTGTCAGCAGTGCGAATTCATTCACTCGGCATCTTTTTAGGAATTTAATGCATTCGTGGGTGCTGATCGGAGTAAATGAACGTGTCAAGCACTAATTACTAATTTATAATTATAATTTGTAATAATTTGTTATTTAGCAGTGCCCTTTTGTGTGAATTTATGCTTTTTAATGACCGGAATCAAATGCTTGTATGGAAAACTTTCGCATTTGACGTGGTATCTTCACGAAATTTGRCAGGGATTACTGCTTGAGGTAATAACGTAATCTCCGCAAAAATTATTCAGATCGGATTACTCYAGCAGATAGCTTCCATACACACTGGACACATAGTTACTAAAAGAAATACACATGTGAAGGTAATAGTAGCTTCGGTGCAGCCGAAGTTAACGTTTTTTCTTGTTTTGCTAGTTATTAATTCAAAAGAATAAATAAGTTGAAATCGATAACCAATACAAAAATTGTTTGTTATCGATAGAAGAAAGTCCTTATTTTTGTATTATAAGGAATAAGAAGTCGATTTTTAGGCCTCTATCTTAAGTTATTTGTAAYAGCTTAATGAAATGTTTTATCCCGTTATATGAATTGCTTCTTGAATTGTGCACTCAAAAGGAAAGAATCAGATGGTATTTAAAATTTTGTTATATGRGAAGAAGGCATCGCTGCAGTTCCATTTTCACACTGTAACATAAAAAAGTTAGAGGAATTTCACATACCCAATTTGAAACTGATCACGCGGGTCTCGAGATATGTGTTTTCAGCTGAAAGCGAGCAGTGCCACGCCCATCCTCCAATTTTGAAACCGGCTCCAATAAAGCCCTGTTATAGCATCTCGCTTTAAGTAGTTTTTAATAATACCGTTTTATGGGAAGTAAGCGGGGTTATTATCCAATTTCATGCATTTTCACACTATCGGCTTGTGTTGGCCAATAACACCCATTTAAGAAGTAGTAYTTTTTTCGCCAGGGAACTCGCATACCAAGTTTCATCAAGATATCTCAATTTTTACTCAATTTACAGCTTACACAAGCGGACAGACAGGAACGCGGATTTCAACTTTTCTCTTCATCCTGATCATTTACTTATACATATATATAATATATACATATGTACATACTTGTATAACCCTATATCTGGTAGTTTAATTATAATTAAGATTTTCTGGATAACAAAGTAAATGAAAATTTAATTTTAATTAAAATATATATTTTTTAAGTATTATTTGCAACACTGATTAATTAAAGTATTGCGTATTCTAATATTTTTTTTCTTCAATCCAATTAATTTATAATTGCAACAACCCCTTCCTCCTAAATTATGAAAAAATGTCCACTTTGGCTTTTTATAGCTGAATTTTTATTCCGCAAGATGACACGAGCATACAAATTTATTTGTTGCTATCTTATAATACCTAGTTGACATTTACCTCAAATTAAATATATAATTTTTATAGAAATAAACGCTTTAAATCGTTGCTATCTGTTCAATGCCACTACTGCTTGAATATATTGTTGATAACTCATTCAGTTTGAGGCTTTAAACTTTTTTCTCAATCATCAAAAAACGAAAATAATTTACTGAAAATATAATCGTACTTACATCCTGTAATCAGCGTGTTCATTGGCACTTGAGCCGACATGCGACCAATAATCAGCGACTTCTCGCCTGTCTCTGGATGAAAGGCCGAATCGTACAGGTACTTGGCACGCCACAGCTCCTCAACGCTGCCGCATTCCTGCACCGGTTTGCCGGCACGATAACTGTGTACGATGCGCTTGGCGCGCTCCAACTCCTCGTTGGTGGCYAAGAGATTCAGCGGATTGGTGAGMAGGAAGAAATGCTTGGCACGATTGATGTAAGTGCTCTGGTCATATTTCGGTTGATCGATATCAATGGCAGGCAGTGGTGCGACGGCTGCAGTTGACGACATGTTTGTGATATTGCTGATGTGTGTGCGGTGCTGGTGGCAGTGGTGTTTTCACGTAACGCTACAAATAGCCATACAAGTATAAGGCATATTTTATAAAATTTTAAATAAATTTTTATTGATGGTTATTGAGCTAAATAACTTATATGCATTGTGTAATAATTAAAATAAACTACAACTATTGTTGTTTTTATATTAACAATTAGTGTTATTGTTATTTTGTGCTTGTGTATGTTCAGTTAAAATTTCAACTCTTGAAAGAGAGTTAGGGTTTCCTCAGCGCTCTCTCCAACAAATGTTCTTACAGCATTTACTCAGTAACAGTAACCATCAATATACTTTAGTTCAATGTGCGTTATTTTTAATGATTTTATTTTATTTTTTTTTTTATATACATTAATAATTTTTTTTTTCCAGATGAAATATCGATTTTAATGTGTTTCATGCAGACTTTGCTTTTTTTTTTACGGCTAGCTAGCATCGAGCGCACAAGTTCTCAAGGCTGTATCTCCGAAACTATTACTCGGATCAACTTGAAAATTAAGGATAATATTCTAAAGGTGTTGTACAATTTAATAACACAATAAAAAATTTGTTTTTTTTTTTTTTACCCGTAAGTCCATGTAACCTCTTAAAGTTTTAGTAGACGATCTTACAAGTAGGCTCCTAGTGGGAAAAATTCTTTAATTTTTGTTTTGTTTTTTCTTTTTAATTATCACTAAGAGCTGCTACTGTTTTTTTTTTTTTGGTTTCAACCAAATGATCTTAACATTTAGTTCAAATCACAGCTATGTTTCGCAAAGCAAGCTACAAATTATGGTTATTGAGGGAGTACTGTATCTGTGCATACATACAAATTTACAATATATTGTACGTATATACATAAGTATATGTAGTAAATTGCTCACAATTACAGAATTCACACTTAATTTTCGATTATTATTTTATCAGCAGTTTGTGATAAAACTATTTTTGCAATATTTTTGTCTGTTTACAGGGCTAATAACGTGTTTACACACGATTAAGCATGCAATCATGCAGCGATTTTATTGATTTACAACGCCAGCGCAGGCGGCCGGATTTCGAGAGGCTCTTATCAAATGCACTAGACGCTAAATCCGACATAAATATGTACATATGTAAATACACAAATACATACATRCATACATATGTATCAACGGATCAGCTGTATGGCGGCAAACGTTTTGTGGGCGCGGAGCTACGTAACCATTGACAAAGCCAGCAGTATTCTGCGCATTAAGAGAAAAGGCTCCTAGGAAACAACAGACATTTGCAGTTACTTGCTGTTAGTATCTGTATATGAACATATTTACTTATACATTGTACACTTCTTTTTATGTGTTGGTATGTGTTTGTATCAGTGAATCCATGAATCAATTTTTTCTATCGACCTTTTGTGCTGATTTACGCTTGCTTATCGCTGGTGAATCTTACATAATTGCCTTTATACAGTGGTTTTTAATAAATAATATAGGCTTTACCGCGACAGAACACCATCAAATGAATACTATCAAAATATTCATTGATTTTCATAAAATTCCAAATAAAGAAATCACCTGCTAACAAAAAAATGAAGGCGTGTCTTGTTAGCTGTTGTTGCGCCTACCTTCGGCCGCGCGATTTGCGTTGGAAAATTTGTTTTTCCCTTTTGTTAAGTCTTCTTTTTTTTGCTGCCCACTCCGCCACTTGCTGGCGCTTTGCTTTTCTGTTTTATGTATAACTTGTCAGCGTTTAAATAACTAGCGCTCGAAATAYGATTTTCAACCGCTACGGTCGGCAGTGTACGGAAAACTGACAGCTGAGCGATAACCAGTCTTAACGCAACCGCACCAATTCCATGCTTGTAGCTCGTTTCTTTCACATTCTTTATTTATTGTCACGAAGGAAATAAACATACGGACAAACCCGGTGCGTCTGCAGACAGCAACTCGGCGGCTGCGCTAACTCGCATTCCTATCGGAGGCATCAGCACAACCTTCCAAGTTAAAAGTTGCCGATAGGTAAGAGTGCGCAAATGTCGAGCGTGTTGCTGTAATAAGTAGTAAGAACGCTTCTGGCGCTCTTTTGGGGGAATCATAGATAGCAACAACCACAACGAAGGAGAGTAAGAAATTTTGTGTGTGACTATTTGATTGTGTAGTAACCCAGTAGTAAAATAGTAAGTAGCATGGAGGGCTCATCCGTGTTAAGAACAACCAAACTCTTTTATATTAAAGAAATATGCCTTAAGTTTAGAATGGCGAAAATAAAAATAAATCGATATTTTCTTGTTTCGATAAGTTATATATTTTAAAATATCATAATGAAAGTGTAAATCGATAGCTTAAATAGATTTTTAACTTACAGCCTTCTGAATACACTTTAGTTCAGTCAGSTTCGTCAGTTTATTTTCGAACCTTTTTTTTTCAAAACTTCCTTTTTTTAAATTTGCTTGAGTGCTTCCTCAGAGACAAAATAACCGACCACTGTCAATTTTTTRTTGATATTTTGTATATAGTTCTCTATACCATCTATACTATATACATTTTTGATCTGATCAAACATTTAATTTTGGCAAACCAAAAATTACCAAAATCTGGAATAAAATTCAACTTCTTTAGAACGTTGCCATTTGGTCAATTTTAAATTTTTCTCGACCTCAACATTGTGGGTATATTTTTAAGTTTCATCTACGGAGAAGGTCGGAATCACTGGAGCAGTGGACATCATTCTAAAAAAATGTTTTCACAAAATGTTACTCCTGTTTTAAAATATGATAGTAGTTTTTACTTCCCAAATATTAAATTCTTTTAGGCGGTCAGACTATGTGTGCCCCTTAAAATAGATTTGGCAATTTTTTTAAGAATACAAAAAATTGTTTTGAGGAAGAATGAATCGATTATGCCCTAGAAATTTACAAACAATCGAATATTTTGACTGAAATTGAAACATTTTCTCCAAATCCCATCATCATTAATGCTCTTCAGCCATTTTATTACTATTATTATAAGTACTTTTTGAAAATAAAAACCGTCACCAATCTTTTGCTGTTTATTTCCAAATTGACTCTTGTCTCTTGTTAACTATTGTGYTCTCGCCAACCCTTGTATATTTGTCTTTTTTGAGAGATTAAGTCACTTGACTCTCTTTGTATCTCACCCAACACACCTAACGCGCTACTGACCAGCTGAGTTGACTTTGTTTAATAAAATCGTACACAGCCTCAAGAGCTTATTGGCTCTTTCTAGACCTCCGAACTTGTATTCTAAATGCGTTTAGAATGAGTTTAGGGATACAAATTTTGAAAAAGTTTTTCACGTTTATAAATTAATAATATTAAGAGSGAATTCAAAGAATCACATTAAACTAGGTCAACACAGTTCTGTCTAAGGTTATTCATGGGTGGATCTATTCAGCATAAGTGTTGTTCAAAAAGCATTAGACATCTGTACAAAAAGTCAATTAAWGACGTTACTATAAATTTATGTTGATTTTTTTTTATAATAACCTAATCTCTTTCTCTTTCCCTGCTTCCTTTTGTGCTAACTTATGGCCAACTCAAAGCAATGTCTCTTTGCACAATCACCTTTCTACATTCTCACTAATGAATCTTGCTGCGATTATGGTTGATAACGTCGAATCCAACAGACTACCSCTTAATAATTAAGAGTATAAATGCGACCCTACATATATGTATTTGTTACTTATTAGTTATATTGGCCATTAGAAGCATCCACTTGAGGCTGGAAAAAATTAAAAAAAAAAAAATGCCGAAAATTTCAGTTCAGCGATGTTAATACTGGTATTGTGGTGCCTATGCGTGGTTTGAACCAAAGAACATAAACAATTTAATTTGCTCGTTGAACTCCTTACGCCATAGCTCAGTCAGAGAATGTATAAACATTTAAACAGTTTCTGGTTAAGAGAAATACAAGAGTTGTCATTTTTGGCAGCTGTCATTGGACAATAGACTGGTAGATTATGCAATTACATTTGGACCGTAGTTGTTGCATACTTTTAGGCGTACACTAACATGATTTCCGGCGTTTCACTTCCCCCAACAACATTCAAACAGAAATATTTGTTTGTATATATTTTTATTGTATTATTCATTTCATTTAAGCATCAATAACTGATTACTTTGTTATCATTTAAATAATTTTCATTTAATTTGACTTTTAATGAATTTATTTTAACTGTTATTTTACGATTTTGTTTCATTAAACTAACATAACATCAACAATAAACATTGTACAGTATCGGATTCCTGCCTATATATAATATTTGTATGTATATATGTGTACCTATATATTTTTGTATGTATATCTTGTCATTATACACACCACTCAATTGTTATATAATATATTGTTGCTGTTTATATGCGTGTATGTAGGTAAACAAATAATATGTTGAGTTTTTGAATGGATATTCGAACAAATTTGCTAATTGTATGTGAATTGTATTTGTATTTGTAAGATTTTGGACTTTCGTTAACATTTAGTGGCCACGCCCACAAATTTTATTAACTAAATCGTTAACAGCTTAAAAACAGAATATGTTTGAAAAAATTTCGAAAATAAAATATAGAAATTATAAGTAAAAAACAAAACTCATTTGAGTGGTATTATATATATTTTCCTACATCGGAACTCTAAATAATGGCGGAGACCTTAAAGTCTCAAGCCTGAAAATTGTATGCGACGTTTTTCTGTTCGAAGTATTTTTCTCAATATGGACGTTTGACAGAACTAAGAAATTACGATATCCTTGCACTTATTTCACACGCTCCACTACTGGAATCATAAGATTGTTGTTTAATTTTAATAAAAAAATACTAAAATCTATATTGGCTCCAAAAAGCTTTTCTCCAAACTAGGTCTCTGGAGCTATGTTCTTTCTCTCACTATCAAAGAACTTGAATATAGCATTACTCCGCATAAGAATCGTTTTGAGGGGTTTTAACCCCCTTTTAACTCAAAAAAAAGATTCGAAATTTTCACACGAGTTTCTTAGATATTATTCGATTTTTAATAATTTCGATTTTTAAGACTTACTAAAGTGTATATTTTTTCACAAAAATCGAAATTTTGAATTGTATTCATAGCAGCGCTACACTTTTGGGTTTTTAGATTTCAGATAGTTTTAATTTTTCGACGGCCCAGCTGGAGATCGTCTGCGTGATCAAAGAAAGCCATATTTTTCAAAATGAACAACTGATTAAGAAATTCTATAAATGTACTATACTTTTTCCATATTAAATTTAAAAAAAAAATACTTTTAAATGAGACTTTTAAAAATTATTTGAGAATATAGTTTTCAAAAAGTTTATTTTAAAAAGGTTGACACAATAAAACTAGTCCATTAAAGAAAAATGCAAAATTTATGCGCTAGTCAATAAATAATAAGTTGTGCTAGGGGGTCTAATTATGCACTTGAATGATGTAAGTGCAAGTTTAAAATTTGCATYGATTCATATTGGTTTTATTTCATTTGAGTTTTTCAAAGTCAATGACCATGTACATACAAAAGTACATTTGCATATACATTTGTATGTATAATTGTATGACACGATGATGAGGAGTCGGAAGGTAAAACAAGACAACCAGAAAATACAAGTAGACATATAATTATTCGTTATTATGGATGGAGCAATATGTTAAGTATGGCGCCTAAAACAATTACGGGTGAATAAACCGAAGGAATGGTATTAAATTAGTAGACTAAAGCGATCGGTTGGATCTACTTTTGGAGCGTTTCTATTTTTAATTAATTATGGTACGTGACAATGAATTGAGGTTAGATATAATACCAATATAGTTTCTTAAAATATTAAARATCTAAGCTTAGCTTTAGTGTGGAGTCGTGTAGAAATACTCGATTTGTTATTGAGATCTAGTGGGAGAGTCGCAAAATACACAACGACCTCATCCAGCATTTCTATGTAACTTTTCTTGCCCGAAAGCCTAGCATTGCGCACAAGTATCTTCTGCGAATTTTRAAACTTGATTATAACATTATCCCGTATAAAACCGTCTTGATGGTTATAACCACTTTTCTAAGAATCTGACGGAAAAATATTTAATAATGAAGTAGTTTTTGTTTTAAAATACTTGGAATACTTGGATTGAATGAATGTTCAAAACTAAAGCTTTCGTACATTTGGCTTTCCCCATGCTTTGTTTTCATAAMAGTCTGTCTTATAATTTGAGCGGTAATAATTTTGATATAAAAGCTTC